AAAAAAAAAAAACCCAACACACTGGGAGGAGGGGAGTGGATAATTAAGCAAGAGGAGCAGGTGGGATTTGATTGAAAAACCAGGAGGAACCTCCATCCCCTTTCCAGGTGCTCCCGGTATGGGATTGTAGGAATGGAAGGAAAAGCTACCCCGTCCCCTCCACCCCTTGGAATAAAGTTATTMCTCGGATAAACCGAATGCTGAGCAGCTCAGCACAGGAATTTCTGCTGAGGAAATTTCAGGAAGGCTCACTTAAAGGGATTTGCAGGCAGCTTTTAGGGGGATTAAGAGCTGCAGGGACAGGATAACCTCGACCTCTTCCTCCAGAACAGCTGGATTTGGGAACTGGACCCGTCTGGGACAATTTCTGCCTTCCCTTGGATGCTCCTCTTGCTCCCAGAATTCCCAGGAGCAAAAACTCCTCCTGAAAAATTCTCTCAGAGCTCCTGAGTGGCCAATTAATGGGRAAAAGGGGGTGGGGAAAGGAAAAAATCCCAAATAAGGGCTGATCCAATTTATTTCAGGTGCTGATTTGAGGATGGAATAAATTCCAGCTGCTCTGGGTAGTGAAAYAGCCAGGAATTCCGAGTTAATATCTCTGGTTAGTAAATCCTAYCCTGGATGTTCCCAGTTGGCTTCCAAGACAGGGATTTTTTGGAAAAATAGATGAAATATTTATCCCTTTCTGTTGGTTAATAAGGTTCTGTAGAATGAGGGAGTTTTTGGGATAAAAGGTAAAGGCATGTGGGAAATTGATACAAAAGGAGGGAAATAATGAATGTGGGAATCCTGGGGAATTTTTGGCTGTGGGATTCACTGGGATGAAAATCTCCAATGCTTTTRTCTGTCTTTGATTGTCCTGAGCAGGAAGTGCAGGAATTCCTGCAGTAAACAATGTCAAACTGGAGAAAACTGGGAATATAAATGGGAACTTTGGTGTTCTCAGCATAGCACAGGGGCGCTGTGGCCTTAAAAGAGAGAAAATCCAGGGATATGGAGGAAAAGATCCCTTTTTGGCCAATTTCCTATCACAGCCCAATTCCAGGAGGTGCCAGCTGAGGAAAAGATGTGACACTTGATGGGTGYCACCTCCCAGCTTTGGCTCAGCAGAGGTTTGGGACATTCTTGCCCCTGGAATTTGCACCCAAGCTCCAGATTTTACCAGCTCCTGCAGGATTTGTGCCTTGATAATTTGTCTGATCCTGGTTTGGATCCTGCAGCAGGATTTGCTGGGATTTCAGTCCTTGTTCTTTCCATCTGAGCCWAAAATCCTGCAAGTTAGGGATTCGTTATCCTCCTTTTCCTGAATCCTACAGACAGCTCATCCCAGGACCTCCAACCCYGGTTTTCTGCCATCCCAAGGGATCCAAATCCCCTCCAAAGGAGCGGCTGCTTCACTCGCAGCAGCTCCCACTCCTTCCCAAATCCTGCAGCCCCACCTGGGCACTCCTGGGAGTGAAGATGCTTCTTTTACTTCCTGGGAATCTCCAGATTCCCCAAAACTGGCACAAACCATTCCTAATGGTTTTAGCAAGCCATCCCCCAGCATTTTTTTGATCAGGTGTTGGGATTGTTTTTCCAAGGGAAAACTTTGCCCAGCCAGAGCCAAATGTCTCTGGGATAAGGAAGGAAAATATTCCCAGGGATTCCTTTAACCTTGGACAGCCAGATTGGAAAAGGGAGCAGGGAAGTTGTGCATTAAAATCAGGAGATTCAGGGCAGGAAAATCAGAGGAAAATTAGGAAAATGTGGTGTTAGGAGTTTAAAATTCCACTAGCAGCGGGAAGATCCAAAGGGGCTCCAAAGGTGTCCCTTGATCCCGAATCTGAGTCATTCCYGTGTTGGATAATCCACAATCCTTGGGATTTTTCAGCCCCGTGGAGGCACTGAAATGTCCCCACGAGGGGTTGGCACAGAGGGAATGACAGGTTCTGAAACCCCATCTCCCAGCCCAGTTTTCCCTGGATGTTTAATGGGAATTATCCAGCACCATTCCATAGTTTTCCTAAAAGCCCCTATTTTAATCCATAAATATTTTTCCATTCCCATTTCAACCCCTTTGACCAAGGGGAAACCCCCAAATTCAGATCCTAAATAGAATTCTTTGTCATTTAAACCATTTTTGGGGGAGAGGAGAGAATGTGGGGTGGGTTTTGGTGGATCTTTTTTTTTTTTTTTTAAGGATCAGTCAGATTTAGGAAACTCAACCTGAATTGCGTAGGGGGTTCTGTCTCTGCCCAGCTCCGGGCCCAGCACTTGGAGATTGATCCCTTTYATTCCTGGGAATTAAAAAGTGTTTTCTGTGCATCCCTCCAAGCACAGCCAGAGGAGCAGACTGCTGAGCGTGCTCAGGGTGAATCCCTTGGAATTCCTGGGGTCCCATCCCTCTAAATCCAGCCTAACTCCTGTGGCTTTATACGGCCCCAAATGCCAGCAGGAGCTGCCCCTGAGCTTTCCTGGTCCCAGWCCAAGCTGAAATGAGGGACGGTGCCTTAAACGCGGACAGGCCGAACATCTGGGAAGGGCTGGAACTGTTCCCATTAACGTGGACGCGGTTTGGAAGCGGCTCCCGCTTCTGAAGGGTTTTCAGCCTGGATTCGCTCCAAGGACACAGAAAAGCGACTCCCGTTCGACTCCCGACCCTTTATCAGATTGAACCCCACAGCTGCGGGTTTGCTGCCCTGCTCCTCTCAATGGGAACCCGCTGGGAAACGCAATCCCGGATTATTTTGGGGCAGGGTTTCATTAACCCTCATTATGGCATTTGGAGGGAGGTTTTGCCGGGAGTTAATTGGGCCTCAGCTGGTTCCTGTTCCCAGCTTGGCAAAGGGAATGGATGCAGGAGGAGGGAAGGGGCCTGAATTCGGGATAGGGATGGCTTGGGGAGGGCAGGGAATCAGGGAATGGTTGGGTTGGAAGGGATTTAAGGATGATCCCATTCCCGCCCCTAACATGGCAGGGACACCTCCCACTATCCCAGGCTGCTCCCAGCCCCAATGTCCAGCCTGGCCTTGGACACTGCCAGGGATCCAGGGGCAGCCACRGCTTGTCTGGGAATTCCATCCCAGCCCCTCCCCACTCTCCCCAGGAACAGTTCCTTCCCAATATCCCTGCCCTCTGGCAGTGGGAAGCCATTCCCTGTGTCCTGTCCCTCCATCCCTYGTCCCCAGTCCCTCTCCAGCTCTCCTGGAGCCCCTTCAGGCCCTGCAAGGGGCTCTGAGCTCTCCTGGAGCAGATGGAGGGAGATGCCCCCTCCCCACATTGCTGGGATTCAGGCAGGATTTCATGGATCCTTATGCCAGGGGCATGGAGATCTCTGTGCAGAGGTGATAGCAGCCAATGCTGTAATTCCTTAGAGCAGAGGAGCCCCTGGCGATGAATTATTTATTAGGAATTCTTCCTTCCTGGAGAGCAGCTTCATGCCTGCAATCTGGGACGCTCCATACCAAAATTGCTCCTTCCGTGCATGCTGGTGCACCATGGGAGCAATTCCCTCTTCCTTCCCCACTTCCATGGATGACAATTCCATGGAGGAGCTGCTCCTCGGGATAGCACCGCGGAGCAAACCGGGATCCTCAGGGCGAGGCTGAGGGGGTGACGGACGCACAGGAATCTGGGGAATTGCGGTGTCACCCGTGTGTCCCCCTCCCCTCCCCGCAGGTGGATGCCGACGATGTCATCACCAAGGAGGAGCAGATCTTCCTCCTGCTGAAGGCCAAGGCCAAGTGTGAGCGCCACCTCAAAGCCAAGGTGCCCAAGGTGCACGGTGAGTGTTCCCAAATCCCGGGGCTGCTCCCACCCCACTGGGCCCAGCCCTTCCCTCAGCCCTGCGCGTGGCGCCTGGAGCAGCCGGACAATCCCAAAGTGTTGGGTTTTAGGACAGGCCACAGGGAGGAGGTTGGAAAGCGAAGCTGTCACAAACTCGTTTTTCTGGCCCAAATCCCAAAGGCCGAGGGTTAAAGAGGCTGCAGGAATTGTGCAATTATGGCTCTCGTTGTTATACCCAATGCACAGCAGAGAACAGCCGACCACCAGCTCTCTGGGGATCACAGAATTCCTGGAATGGTTTGGGAAGGACCTTAAAGATCCCATCCCACCCCTACCATGGCAGGGACACCTCCTACTGTCCCAGGCTGCTCCAAGCCAAAATGTTCAACCTGACCTTGGGCACTGCCAGGGATCCAGGGGCAGCCACAGCTTCTCTGGGCACCCTGTGCCAGGGCCTCCCCACCCTCCCAGCCAGGAATTCCTTCCCAATATCCCATCCATCCCTGCCCTCTGGCAGTGGGAAGCCATTCCCTGTGTCCTGTCCCTCATCCCTTTCCCCAGTCCCTCTCCAGATCTCCTGGAGCCCCTTTAGGCCCTGCAAGGGCCTCTGAGCTCTCCCTGGATCCTTCCCTTCTCCAGGTGAGCACCCCCAGCTCTCCCATCCTGGCCCCGTGGGGTCTGCAGCTCTGGGGCCTCCTCTAAACCTGTTCACCGATCCCATTCCCAAAGATCCTTTACAACCAGCGATAAGGGAAACAAACCATCGCTCCAAGACCTTTATCCCTTCACTCTCTCTCTCTCCTKGGAAGGGTCCAGGCCCGGCTGAGCCCTTTTCCTCCCCTTCCTTTTACTTTCAGGCTGAAAAACCCCTCCCAGCTGGAGCTGGAGTGGGGAGGAAGGGGGAAACTCCCTCACGTGGGAGCAGAGTCCTCACTCCCCTTCCCTCACATTCCCAAGGATTCATTCCTGGCCGGTCGAGGGACCCTTCACCCCCTGGGGTGGATGTCCTGTCCCACTTCTCTTTGCCCCCCAAGAAATTGGGACAATGTGGAACATTTGTGCACCCCAGCTCTCTCTTCCCTCAGGGAGCGCTGTGGGAAAACCTAGAGAGGGAAGGAAAGGCCCCAAACCCGGCTTTGCCACCTGGCTCCTGCTGGAAGGAGCCGTAAAATCGCAGCTTCCCTTTGATTCCCAGCCTCCTGTTTTCCATCAGCAAACCTCAAGCCACATCCTGTGCTGCTCCTTTGTCCCCTCACCCCGTGCCCAATTAACACCTCGTTAACGAGCACGTGGGTAAAGGCATTTCCTGCTGCTCTCTCACCCCACCTGGCCCTGCTCCTGCCCCACTTTTCCAGCTTTCCTTAGGCAGCTTTTGGGATTGATCTGCCTCCATTGTGGGTGGGGATGGGGATGGGATTGACAGATGGATTTTGGGATCTTTCCCATGGGCAAAGGGAACRAATCCCAGGGATTTGGGACCGGTTCAAGACCCGGATCTGGGGCTGGAACAGAAAAATTCCAAGGTGTGGAGGTTTCATCCCATGGACACAAATCCTGCCTTTGGGAAAAGTTCTGCTGAGCTCCTCAGGCTCCCTKCTCCATCCCATACAGCAAATACAATCCCAAATAGTCTGAGAGGAGGAATCTCCTGGATTTCAAGGCTTTAAAGTCTCYGAGCAATCATTAGTGGGAGGTAATTAGATCCAATTAACCTGCACTGAAAGGCAGAATGAATTCCCGCTTACCCTTTCCCAAGGAATGTCTTTTTTAGGATTTAACCCTCTGAAATTCCCTCTAGGAATTCCCAAACAAGGCTGGGAATTGCCAGACCATCCCTGAGATGGAGTTTGTGCTCCCAGCAGAGGGTTTTCAATATGGAAGAGTTCTTCCCACGTGGCAGAGGAGCTGCCATCCTTGGATTTTGAGATTTCAGCCCTCGGACATGGGAGAAGTGGTTGAATCCAGTCCTTTCCTCCTTGGAATATGTGGGAATTGGGACTTGGTGTCTGCTCTGGTGATCAGGGACATCCAGATCTTGCAGARGGAGGATCTCATCCCTTTAGCTCTTCCCTCACTCCAGATCCCAAAGAAAAACSTGGGAAGCTTTCACACTTAGGATGCTCCAGTCCTATGTGCAGATAGGATTTCAARGAAAAAATTTAGGAGCAACAGTGGGGTTGACTTGGAGCAAAACAAATCCTGGGTGTTGTTTCCATCAGTTTTCCATGTTCCAATCCCTGCTGCGTTTGTCATTCCAAAGAAGGAAAAAGGACAGGCCCATGCCGAGGCGGCATTTTGGGGGAGATCCTCAGGAAAACACATCCCACCGTTATCCAAGGATGAGATTCCTCCAGCTTCTCTTAGGGAGTTTGTGATGAGGGAATAGATCCATATTCAGCTCTGCTGGAAGGAATCTGGAGAGTCAGAATCCCTCTGGGATCATCCTGGAACAACTCCAGTCGAGGGCTGACCCTGCCGACAGCCCTGTGCTGTCCAGAAAGGAGAAAGTTCCTACTCAAAATTCCAGACCCGAGGCAGCAAGGAGCAGCTTGGGACTGGAGGGGGATCTCTCCAGGGAAACTCTTCCCCACAGGAGTCACAGGAAAAGAGCCTTTGACCCCATTCTGGAGAGTGGGAACATGTCCCAGCTGGCAGGGCTGATATTGCAAAGGAAAGTCTTAGGGAGCAAAAAAAAAGGTTAAAATTCTTTGAAATTCCAAACATTTTTCAGCAACTCTTAATGTGTTAAAACTCTAATTTCCCTTTTTTTCCCTCTAAAAGTGTCAAATTTCAGTTTTAGGGGGAGGATGAGTTCCCTCCTCCCCTCCTGGATGGCTCATGGTGATCCTCTGTCCCCCTGGCCACCTGCCAGGTGTCCCTGAGCCCTGGATCCTGATCCATGTGGCTCCCATGTGGATCTGAGCCACTCCAGGAGCTTCCAAAGAGCCCAGTCAGGATTCGTGCGTCATCTCCACCTTTGGCTGAGGCCCCAAGGGCTGGAGACCCAAAATACGAAACCAAAAAAACCCCAAAACCCYTCCCCCACCAGCATTTGGTTTCCTTCTTTTCTCTCCCTTTTTTTTTTCCCTCCCTCCCTTTTTTTTCCCTTAAATTTAGTCTCCAGATGAAAGACTTTGGGAAAGAACAGGAAACCCGAACATTTCTCTTCTCCCTACACAAATATTCCATCCCAGCCCCGCTGGGCAGCTTATGCCACCCCAAAGTTAAACCTGGAAGGGGATGAAGTGAAATCCTGAGCCATCATCGGGATTTTTTTTTATCCACAATTTTTTTTTTTTTTTTTTTAATCCATGAATTAAAAGCTTGTCTTTCCCTGGTTTGGAAAAGGAGATGGGACATTTTGTGGGGAAAGAAGAGGGATTTTTGCACAACCCTGTCATTAGCAAAGGCCGTGGGCAACCCTTTCTCAGAGCCTGAGGTGTTGCAGCTCCAAACTGGGCTGTTTTTTTAATAAATGAGCTCATTTTCCCGGGAAAGGGGTTATTTTTGGTTGGGAATCTGGGTCTGTTTACCTGGATGGTGCATCCCAGTTTGGCTTCATTGTCCCTAAAGGACCCAGACCTAATTCCAGGCTCTCGCCATGCTTGAGGAACCCCAAAAGGGGCTCCTGGTTTCCTTTTTGGAGCCTCCAGCACCATTCCCTGATGCCAGGATCCCCCAGAGCTCGGGATTAGCCTCAGGTGCCTCAGAGATTTAGGCAGAAAAGGCATCCAAAGCCCTGAACACCCCAGCACTGTATAAATCCATATTTTTCCCAGCTATTTCCATCTTCTCCCAGTTTCTGTTCTCTGTCCTTGTGGCTCAACAGCGCAGGTATGGCCTAAATTCCACCAAAAACCAAACCATCCCTTGGGAACATATTCCAAGCAGAGCTTTGGCCTGGAAAAGCTGTCACTGCGCCCATGTTGGGGTCAGCATGGACCTTTGAGGATGGAATTATGGACCAGGAGACCTTTTAGAATGGAATTATGGACCATAATGGATGGAATCCATTTTTCTGGTGGAAATGGATGGAATCCATTATGGATTTTTATGGAATTATGGAGTTTTAGGATGGAATCACGGACCAGGAGATCTTGGAGATTGGAATCACAGGCCATGCTTCTGGAATGAGTGTGAGGGAGTTGAGAGTCATGGATATGAAGTGTGATGGACCTGAAGGAGCTAAACATGAAATGTGGCCTCTGCCTGCCAAGTTTTAGGGCCAAGGGCTTCCAGGCCCACTGAGAAATGTCCATGGAGCAGCCAAACAGGGCTTGGAACTCATGGGAGGAATGATCCTGGGAATTATGAGAGGCATGAGTGGTCCATGGTTTGGATTTGGAAAGGAGCACAGAAAAAGGGTGGGAAATGTTCCCAAGGGTGGCTGAAGGAGTGCTGGTTATCAGCCTGGCTGTAATGGACGCTGTGGCTGCTGTTGCCTCCTCCTGGGGCTGGAGGGGTTTGGAAGGATTGGACCTACTGGGATGAGGAGAGAATGGGGTGTGCCACAGGGGCAGGTCGGGGGTTCCGATGGGATGTCCGAGGTTGTGTTTGTGCCCCTGGGGTGGGAAGGCAGAGGGTGAATGTGAGGAATGGCTGAGCTCGGGAGCTCCAGACCTGTGTCCTGCCAGGAATTGTCTGGTGACATTCCTGGCCTCRTGGCTGGGCTGAGCCAAGACGTGTTGGGGTTTGGAACAGCTCCCAGCCCCTGTGTCCGTCCCGTCCGATGTCCAGTACCTCCAGAGCTGGGCACAGAAGGGGCATTTTCCCCATTAAACATTGGGGTGAAGGCCAGACAGGGACTCTGAACAGTGACAGACAGCACTCCCTCCATCCATGGCCATTTCTGGCAGAAATGAAGAAAAGTCTGGAGCATCACTGTGCCCAGGAAGGGCTAAGAGAGCCAGGGCTGCTCAGCCTCCAAGAGCCCCAGCCCACAGGGACCCTCGGCCCTGGGTGTCCCTGGGTGTCCCTGGGTGCAGGGAGGGCTCCGAACAGCGCCCAGCGATGGCACCGGAGGGACGGGCAGGCACTGAGCCCAAGGAGCTCCCCCTGCACAGAAGGCAGCACTTCTGCCCTGGTCAGGGACCGAGCTGGGACAGAGMCCAGAGAGGGGCTGGAGTGTCCTCTCTGGGATATTCCAGAACTGTCTATGTGTGATCCTGAGCCCTGTGTTCTGGGATGGGCCCCCTGGTTGTGACCCCACTCTTCATCCTCCRTGCTGGAACTGCATCCCCACACAGCCAGGTCAACCCCCCCTTCCCCCAGCCACCCTCACCCTATAGATCCTTACAGCCCCAAATGCAGCCCCTCACCCAGCCCTCAGAGCCAGGTTTGAAATCCATCCACAAGCCCAAACTCAACTGCTGCCCCTCCAAGCCCCCATTCCTCCCCCTTCTTATCCCAAAATTTCTCCTTCTTCTTATCCAAAAATTCCTCTTCCTCTCCATTCCCAAAATGATTCCTCCTCCCCCTTCCTATCCCAAAATTTTTCCTTCCCCTCCCTATCCCGAAATGATTCTTCCCTCTTCCTATCCCAAAATTATTTCTCCCCCTTCCTATCCCAATATTCCTGCCCCTTTCTATGCCAAAATGATTCCTCCCACCTCCCTATCCCAAAATTATTTCTCTCCCTCCCTACCCCAAATGCTGCCTCATTTTCCGGGTGGCTCCTCCCCGGCCSCCTGCAATGCCCCAAATGTCCTTCCCGTAACGGAGTGACCACGATCACACGGCGCGTTCCAGCTGCGGTYTGCCGGGTGCCGGAATGAGCCGGGCTGCTTTCTGTGCCGTGCCCCTGGGTAAACACCTCGGGCCGTGTTTGCGTTTGTGCGGCTGCCAGGGAGCCTCGCACATGGCTGGAATGTGCTCTCCACATGCAGGGTGTCCCATTCCAGCTGGAACGGGGATTGGGGCTGGGGGGAAGGAAARGAGCAGGAAGAGGAAGGAAAAGGGGCAGGAAGGAAGGGACAAYTCTCGGTGCAGCCTGAGCAGGGACAGCTCAAATCGGCCCCTTCTCTCTTTCCCACCAAATCAACCTGTGGGATGCTGCGAATCCCGGCTGGGCTCACGTGGGAGAGCAAAACCAAGGAATAAAATGAGGGATGCACTGGTGACAGCCCTTCCCAAGGTATTCTGGGACTGTCCTTCCTGCCTTCCAAAGGGAAATCCTGCAGCAGGGACGGCAAAGAGAGTGTTTGCTTGTTCCCATCTTGGAATGGCTGCAGTTTCAAGATTCCAGATTCCAGCCCTTCAGGGGTGAAGGATCGATGTCCTGGTAGACAAGGAGCCACCCCAGCCCTGGATCCTGGGAAAGGGGCCAATAGCTCCTGGAGGGATCCCCTGCTTCCCTTCAAGGCTCCTTTCCTTGGGAATATCATCCAGGCGGATTTTCTTGTTCCCATCTTGGAATGGCTGCAAATCCCATGCCCTGAGATCCCAGTCTTCAACGGGGAAGGATTGATCCCAGGGATGTCCTGGTGGACAAGGAGCTGAGCCAGGTGCACAAGGAGCTGAGCCAGGCAATATTTCTGGAGCAGCTCTTGTTTCCCCAAATTATCCCCACAGAAAGCAGCATTGCAGAACTGTCCCACTGCTTCCTTCAGTTTCTAGGGACGATTTTGGGGGCTCAAACTACCCAAAAATAAATAATTGCATGGTCAGCTCTAAGTTTTCCATGTTTACAGCACAACAAGGATGCACCATCCCCGGAATTCTTCGCATTCTTATCTTTTTGGCCAAATATTTCCTCTTAAAAGTGAAAGTTGCCCTTTGCAGTTTGTCCTGAAGCTTTTGGAGAAGTGGAAAATGGGGAAGGCTYTTCTCTCATTTCAGGACACTTTTGGAGGAATATTTTCCTCCCAGAGTTGTTTCTGTGCTGTGCTTATTTCAGTGTTTACCCGAGCGGGTTTATTTTGCCATAATAACTGGTTTTATTTTAAACAAGAGCACTTTGAGGGCTCCATTAAATCTTTATTGACTTTCTTGTCTGCWGAGAAGACCTCAAGGACAGCAACATTTTGTCCTGAGCCAAATTCTGTRGGGCCCTGGGTCAGATTTTGTTTTTTCCCTTTGTCTTTTGTACCTTCCAGAGAAGTGAAAAATTAAAATCAACACTTTTTTCCCAGTGTAAGTTATCCTGCAAATAACAAGCCGGAGGGARGGGTTTTCCCAGTTTCCATGAATAGGAAATGTAATATTTTTTTTCTCCTGGTGTGACTTTAAGCAGAGAAAATGCAATAAATTTTTTGCCTCTTTTTTATCACATGGATGTGTAGGAATTTTAGCTCCTTCCCCTCGCTCCCAGCTGCTGATTTGGAAGAAAGGCTGGGATTTGTCTGGTCCTTTTCCACACTAAATTAGAGATAAGGAATCAACGAGGGAGTGAGGAGCCAGTGTTTTTCATGTCCTAAATGGCAATAAATTGAATTAATCTGTGTCAGCTCCTACCCTACAGGGCACCAGACCAGAGGACTTTAAACAATCCTGAGGTTTTTTTTAATCTTGGGAAACCACATTGGTGAGAAAGGGTAAATTCCTGGGTGGTTAGAGCTTTGATATCCATGAAACTTGCTGAGATCCTGGCCCTGCTTTGGGTTTTGTTCCTGGAGGAGTTTTTTGTGGATAACAGCAAGAGGTTCCTATTCCTTTTGATTCCCAGGTAGCTCCTGGGTCAGACCCTGGATAAATCTTCCAGAGCCGATGGAAGATTGGGAGCAGATTTGGGGCAGATCTGCCGCTTTTAGCATTTTGTTCCCAGTGTTCCACTGCAGCTGGAATTGAATGGATGGGTGAGGTTATCCAGCCCGAAATTCCCTGGGGATACAGAGCTGGGAGCAGCTGAGGCCTTGGGAGTCTGTGGAGCCTTTCAGATGCACCTGGATGGATCGGGGCGATGGGCAGGGAGGAAACTTCTGGAATTCAGCAATGGCAGGAGCAGGTGCTGCATCTGGGGAGAGCATCCCATCGCATCATCCCATCGCATCCCATCCCATCGCATCCCATCCCATCGCATCCCATCGCATCCCATCCCATCCCATCCCATCCCATCCCATCCCATCCCATCCCATCCCATCCCATCCCACCCCTACCATGAGCAGGGACACCTCCCACTGTTCCAAGGTGCTCCAAGCCCCAATGTCCAGCCTGGCCTTGGACATTCCCAGGAATCCAGAGGCAGCCACAGCTGCTCTGGGAATTACATCCCAGCCCCTCCCTACCCTCCCAGCCAGGAATTCCTTCCCAATATTCCACCTAAATCTACTTCTTTCAGCTTAAAGCCATTCCCTGTGTCCTGTCCCTCCATCCCTTGTCCCCAGTCCCTCTCCAGCTCTCCTGTAGCCCCTTTAGGCCATGCAAGGGGCTCTGAGCTCTCCCTGGATCCTTCCCTTCCCCAGGTGAGCACCCCCAGCTCTCCCAGCCTGGCTCCAGAGCAGAGGGGCTCCAGCCCTGGGAGCAGCTCCGTGTTCTCCTCTCCAGGTCCCTATGCTGTTGGGGACTCAGGAACTGGGTACATTTTGTCCTTCTGAGATAAAACCTGGGATAATCTGCACCTTCTGGAGCCGAAATCTGAGCAGCAAT